GAAGGTAAACTCATTACCCCATCTCCATCATGGAAAACAAATTCAGTGCATTTCTGAAATATGATTAAATTTGGCCGGCTAAATGAAAACGCCATGCGCTTGCTATGCACGCAGCAAGCTCCAAGTGAGTATCGTAATAAGCGAAACGATGTAATTCTGTTGACAGGACGACACCTAAAACAAACTAAATGTACATATTTCCAGAACGTTACTTAACCCAGCGCGTTGTTACGCAAGGTGCAAATGAAACCGTTAAACGCTTGCTGTGCAGGTAGTTTAAAGTAAGAAGTTGTTTACAAAATAAAATATTACAGTCGGCAAAACATCACGCCGAATCACATAATTAAACACGAAAAATAAGCAAAATTCTAATTAGGAGGAATTAGTAGCATAGCTCAAAAGCATGCTCCAAATATCCCCTTTAAAATAGAGCTCTGTTTAAAGATAACGAAAGTTGTACTATCTAAATGATACTCAATGATAGTTTATCTTAGACGTCATTGGAAAATGATTGAAAAATCACGATTGATTTGATCAACAAGCAGATTTTCCTCCTGCGACAGATTAAGAAATTGATAAGCTTCCAAATGTCATACTTAGCCAATACTTGCTCTTTTCTTGAGCATAGATTGTTTTACCGATTGTGGTCTGCTGCTATCAAATCAGTATCGTTAAGAAAACCCATACACAATACCTGCAATGTCTTTACTCCTGCTCAATAATTTGTCATGTCCTTATAATCTCCCCTCTAGCTCTGCTCTCGATCATCTATTGTTACAAATTGTAATGTAGACTTTAATGAAATGCGGCTTGGCTGAAATTGGTGAATAACATGCACGTGCCTGTCACGAAGGTCTTGGTCTTCACCTTAGGAGGTTCACGCAGGCTTCTAAAACAGGTGGTGATTACGTAAGAAATAGCCTACAGGAGGTACCCCCCTGCCCCACAGCCACCAGGTAAGCTCTTCTTAGGGGAAAGGGTCCATGATGATTCCAAAAAGGAAAAAGGAAATAGTACTTCGTGCGTATTTCCTTTCCACCAGAGCAGTGCGTTTTCATTTTATGTTCAAAACATATCCAGTGGAAAGGTTTTGGTAAAACCGACTGCAATTTTGTGGAGAATTCAACTTATAGTAAGTCTTAAGTTATGACTTTACAAGCTCATAAAAACCCATCATAACTACTCGAAAACTCCCCCTTGCGAGAATGACTTTTTAATCTAAAATCCAGAAGGAAATTCGGCAATCTTGAATTCGAGTTTTGATAATGATGTTATTACAAGGAAAACCTTTCCGATCCTGGCAGACTGAAAATTGGATGAAGTTGATTTTGCCAGCTACGGAGGGATTGGGCGGAAAAATGCTTAAATACGATAGAATAATTAACTTATCCTGCATTGTTGAACTGCAAAGGGGAAACGGTTCCAAAACAGTAGGCGATAACAAGGTGTTTGAGTTATGGCGGGTTTTAGTTCCTGTATATAGTTCTTAGCTCTTTCTAGTTTAGTTCAGTTACAGTTTAAGCGAGCGGGATTCGATTCCTACGACACTTGGAGCTCAAATAACTTGAGGCACTGACGATCTTGCGTTTTAAAAGCATATAAAGTCTGTCGTTTGGACAAAAACTTTTTTATTCAGTTGTAACAGGTTAAAGGAAGAATCCTTCGCTTTAAATGTTGAGGGAGAGACTTCATCAATTACACCAAATATTCGCTTGAATTTAAGCCGGAAGGCTTTCGAATGTTATCCCTGAGACGTTTGACGCGGAAAACTTTCGAGTTCAAATGTACTGAAACAGATCTTTGGTATTGGTGAAATATGGTTCAATTTTGCTTTCAGAGCAGGCACAATTTTGGCGAGTGATTGCAAAGTGTTCTCTTGGTGAAAGTTATAGCTACCATCTTTGATTTTTACGGCAGCTGCATTGCAGGCTAACTTCAATTCTATTAACATCACATTTTACATTTATCTTTCAGTTACCCATGGCAGGTAACAGCTACCACTAAGACTAGAATTTAAAAAGTATGGAAGTATGGAAGCGATCTTCGCAGTAATGAACACTTCTCATGCAGTAGTGAAAGTGAGGCCTGGAAAAAATTCAGGCCTGTACGGATTTGAACCCACGACCTCTACGATACCGGTGAAGTGCTCTACCAACTGAGCTAACTAGCCAACTGGGCGCCGGTCATTATGTGGGCTCTAAATATACCCGTGAAGTGATGAATAACTGATTGAGATTATATGAAAATTATATGTGTGAACTGCGGATAAAGACGTGAATATGAAAGCGATCTTCGCAGTAATAAACACTACTTGAGCAGTAGTGAAAATAAGGCCTGAAAAAAAAAATTAAGACCTGTACTAGAATTTAAACTGAATTTTATGTAAAAAAGGTCGTCATCGATGTAAGCTAGAAATGTGCCTCTTTGTTATGGGTCTCCGCTAACCTTTTTATTGTTTTTTTCAATGATTGTTCTTCAGAATGGAGTAACAATTTTCATCCGCCAACTTCAACAGTATGATCAAAGTGTTGACACACCGTTGTTTCTCAGATGAAGGTAATCGATATCGTTGTTTTGGTAATTATCAATTGTAACGACGTATTTCAATCAACTGTCTAGACTCCTCATCAATAAAAGCATTTTGTAACTTGTGACATTACTGCAACGTTTTTTAAATTTTAGCACGTCTCAAGTAATTCCATTGCCTTCCTTTGGCTTGATTTTAGTCTGGAAGGGAAGGGACCCCTTCCCCTTAATATGGTGCGTTGTTAATGGTCTTACAAGTTTTGAATGTTTTAGAGTGATCGCTGGAAACTTTAGACTGGGCTAATATTCCTTCGAAATACTGATTAAAAAGGTGTGTGGCCTTAAACAGGGCTGGAAAACAAAACGAGGTTTGAAGGTTTCAAGCGACATTGATCCTTTTATTCCTCGGGGCACTTGGCACGAGAAGTTGGAAAATGTTTAGTGGTAAACAATGCATGTGATCCAGAGGCTTCCCTGGGTTCAAAAACAGGTCATAACGTTATTTCCAGCCAGGGATAAGAGTGTCAGATCTCTCTGAAAAGAACAGTGCCTACTGCGTCTCGACTAGAATTGTTATTTTTACATAGTTCCAATATTTATAAAGTCAACAGAAGTGTGTGTTTTTCTATGAAACTCTTGGAGTGGAGGAGAGAATATGATGATTCAGTAGGAGGTATCAAAACACCAGGAAAAGGAAATTGTCTCTTTCAAATGAATCAATGCCCGGCCCGGCTGTGAAACAGTGGGCTTGTGATGCAATCATTGGACTCACAGATGCAACACAACCATGGCGAGCAAACCAAAGCCACCAACGGACTCAGCAGTAGCCGCGACCTTTATCCCGTAAACATTAAACCTCCAATAATGATACTTTTTTTAGATCCCATGATATTTGGGTGTTGGCATTGATGGGATATGGCAATCGACTACACGATTGTACAGAATTTTCCATCTTTGCCTTGTTAAGAAAATACAATGAAATGGATTTCAGAGGACTGCCTCGGCTAATAACAGAACGTATTTCTTAACGAGTATTTCAGAATTATTGTGCAGTTTCTGTTTAATAAATGCTTAAGGTGTGTTTTCGGGAATGCATTTGGCTTAAAAATTATCTTTCCACGGCTAACATTTAGTAGGAGTGCGTGTAAATTTTGTCTCGAATCTCTCCAATTACGTGGACTGATTAACTGTTCGCAACTCTTCAAATCAGTAAAATGAAAAACTAAGTAGGGTTTGCCCACATTCACTTAAGAGTTTAACCAATCAGGTATTGTCAAATTTATGGTTTCAAGTCAACAGAAGAAGGGCTAATTCCCTCCGAATCTTTAACGTGTGAAAACGTTTGAGAAATGTCTTGAAAGGACAAAAATTTTGGTTGTTTCTCAGGCTGCGTATGAAAATAAATTGACATCTGATCTACTGAGAAAGTGACCCAGACAGGTTCTGGAATGGTATATTCCGAATACGTGGAGAACGTTCGCTGATCATAGCGGTTGATTTGATCTACCGGCCACTAAAAATTAAAAAAGGGAAACACAAATTTAGGAAATCTTTTTTTCCACACTCAGCAAGAATTAGATATAAAAAGGCAATCCTATAATACGGCTTTTCATTTCCCCACGTGATTTTAAATCGTCTCCATCTGCATGCTGCACCCATGGATCTTTCAACAAGGATTAGCCTTGCATTGCCGGGAGGTTTTGTCAAGGGAAAGGAAAAACCCCATGACAGGTAGATTTGTTACCGTTCCCTATATCATCTTATACATTTAAAAAGAATGTGGACTAAGGAAGGAAACGAAACCCCCAACAGTTTCCTTTTGTGTGATATACAATTGCTGAGTATATTGGTAGTTTTCTGCCCAACACTTGTACTTCTGACTCATGCAGCTAATTTATTCATCAGTCATTGCTTGTCAAGCAATGGTTATAATAGAGTTGATCTGAATAAGGGGTATGTTATGTGTGTTATAGTTGACACAAACTCTTAGATTTTCAAACTCCGTGTCATTTTCGTTTTATAAAAACCAAGGATGGCCTCAGAATCGCCGCACACGCGTCTTCAAGCAATAAACCGTGTTCGTTTCTTTAAAGTTGTGTTTGATTACCTAAAAGATGTGACTGGCAAAGAATACAAAGGTAATGAGATTAAAGGACGCAATCGGCCGCAGAAGCTTTATCTAATTGATACCCAATTCTTTCATTTTTCTTTTTCATGTGAGTCGTTTAGAATGAGAATGATCAGTTTTCAATCAGATCCTTTTAGGAGTCCAACGTCTTTAGGTCTGGTTATAGCATAGTACGATCTATAGGTAACAAAAAGGGTATGTTTCACTCCTAAGATCTTATTACTAACTCTCCTTACTGTCTGCCTTACGGTTCTTGTAATGTTAGTTCGGAGAATTTGGTTTTGCCTCAACCAATGATCAACTAATTGATAATTTTCTTTATTTTCATCACTTGTATACTTGATGTTGGGACGATAATGTAAGGAGAACCTGTCTTAGTCACTCAGTTAACACATTTTTATTCATGAACAGATATCACACGGATTTTTTCATGCCTATAAATGTAACGTGTTGGGTGCTAATCCCAGGTAATCAGTAAAATGCCTTTAAATGTAAACGAGTAATCAACTTTAAAAATGGTTAACGATACTGAGGTTTCAGTTTTTTGTTTTTCGTTTTTTTCTGGTTACACTTATTTTGTTGACAGTGGTACTCAAAGTAACAGATTAGCCCCACCTCTCTGGCATGGCCAGTTACAATTGATTGTATTTTTCCACGTTACCTTATTTTACTAACAGACGTGTCTGAAGTAATATGTTCGTTCAGTCGGTGGAGTCAGTCATGTTAAGAATCAGTTACATCATATTGAAGTAACACTGCTAACTTTTCAGCTAAAATCAACTCCGTTGTTGTTTGCCATGTCCATAATTCTCTCCAATCTAATGTTATTGACCTTTTTCTCTCGAGTCATCTCCTCCTGACACTGTTCCAACTTCTTTTGTAGCTCCTGAGCACTTGAGTCGGTTAAATTCAGGCATGAGTAGATCTCCCTCTTCTCTTGAAGAGATTTGAGTTTCTCATGGGGTACATCGCACAGTTTTTCTTGGATCGTGACTGCCGCGTCCAGTTGTTCCATGGCTTTTGTATAATCTCCCTGAAAAAGAGGTAGACAAGAAGTCTCAGACTCAAACATATAATGGAACTGCGTGCAGGATCAGGTGAAATGTATCAGAGTGCGTTTTCAGGCTGCGTCTTGCTGTCGAAGAAACAGTGGTTAGAATTGATTAGTTTCTTTCCTCCTGTTTGCAACCCATGAGTGATCAAGATAGCACTTCTCATGACAATATTAATGCTATATCAAGCAGGAAAGTGATGAGAATAAAGAGAAACTATCAATGCCAAATTCTTCGAACCAACATTAAAAAAAACTGTATGGCAGACAGTAAGGATAATTGCTAATGAGATCAGTCTTAAGAGTGAAAGGGTCGTTTGAAATACATATCTTATCTCGGCCTCCAAAAGAAGAGAAAAAAAGGTGCGAAGTAGCAGAGCCAGGGTCAAGGTCTCAATCTTGAATACCACGGATGTGTGCAATAAACTAGAGTCTTTTAACTGCAGTATATATAACGCACACCTACAATAATGTTTGACTCACCTTCCTCTTGTAAGTAAGACCCAAGTCGTGATACGTTCGGGCAGTCTCTTGGTGGTAAAGGCCAAGAAATATCTTCCTGATACTGAGCGCCTTGGTGAAATATTCGACGGCCTTATCGAAGTTCTCTAGTGCAAGGCAATCGTTGCCTAGATAGTTGTAGAGCGTTCCGGTAAATGGATGATCCCCTAGTTTTTCAACATAAGCACTAAGGGCTTGTTCCCTGAGAGCTAGGGCTTCAAGGTGGTTGTTTAAGCAGCTTTGAACAACTATTGGAAGAAAAAGAGAGAGGAAAAAAAATTATATGTCGTGGGTTATTCTGGCCTTTGCCAAGCAAAAACTTGATGTGCTAATGGATGAAAATTATAATTTCAATAAAAATAATGTTAATAATAACAATTATGAATACTCCACTTTTCTGGGGTAAACCAGATTAACACTAAGAAACATTCATCTAGGCCCTAAAATGCAATCAAGTTGTAAATAAACATTGAAAATAGACTTCGTATTTAAAAACCTCAACTGGCAGGAGGCAGCTATCTTCCTGGCTACAGTGCCTTCGAAATTGTGGATAACTGTCAACAAATGTTAGCTATAAAGCCCTCTTTGGCCAGGACTAGGGCCAGGGCTTTGGCCAGGAAGATGACTGATTTTTGATAACCGTTTCCCTATGAGAAGAGATGAGGGCGAAATAACATTTCTACTGCCGCTTACCGAATGGCTGAACTAAGTTTTGCTCCTTTCGTAGAAACAAAAAAGTTTTATTCTTTCGGTTGCATTTTTCGCAATTTATCCTGGTGCAGCTCCGTAATAAATCTCAGCCAAATACTTGACTTGCTTCTAGATTGGCAACAGATTTTTTTAATTGGTTCTTAAAGTTTCCATCTACATTCATGACGAAAAACAATGTATTTCAATCGGCAACACTGTTAAGCCTACACTACCTGCTCTATCGTTGCAACAAGCTGCATACTTCAATGGCTCGTCGAGTCTCCTCTGTTCTCTAATTGCGAGGGCTTTTGCGCTCAGTTCGAGAGCTCTAGAAGGATTTCCATTCTTGGCCATGCAGCGTGCGATCTTGCTGTAACACTGTGCAACAAGCTCTCCCTCTGTCAGGTTAAGCTTTTCGTAGATTTCTAGCGCTCTTGTCAAGACTCTGTAAGCTCTCTCTGTTACAACACTGCAAGACCGATGACATTCACAACTGTAGATGTGTTTTATACCAACACACGTCAGGCAGTCAGCCACAAGTCGTAAGTCTCCTTTGGTCGCGCTTAAAACGACTTCGTAGATTTCTTCAAATTGAGCCTTCTTCATGACTTTGGCCAGGAAGATGACTGCTTTGTTTAGGATCTCTGCACAACGTGCAGGGAGTGTAGTTCCCTCCCTCGCTGCCGCCCACCAAATTGCTTGAACAATGTTTTGCTCCTCTGTCCAGAAACGATCAAGCGGTGTCTCTAAGTTACCTTTGCACAAGAATTCCTGGTGTAACTCGGTAATTAAGTTTAGGTAGTACTCAATAAATCTTTCTTGCGCCCGACTGTAATGCGCGCGCAATCGTTCGTCTGTCTTGGCCTTTTCTTCGCAGCAAAGTTGAATCACTTGATGGACGAAGTAGTGTTTAGAATCCAACTCTATGTGGACAAGAGACTTCTTCACCAGTTGAAGAAGAGAGGTAAGAAGCCTTGTTTCTGAACGGCATACTCTCTGTGCTTGTTGGTAAGTAAATGCAGCCGGGAATACTGCCAAGGAATACAAGTCCTCCTCGAAATCGGCGCCAAGCTTTTGCAAGCATTCACTGAGAAAGCCTCTCATTTGCAGCTCTGGGAACAGTTCCCCCATGCTTGACATTTCTATGGCTCCAAAATGATTTTGCAAACTTTGAATCAGTGTCTCTGGGGGGATGACTTCCATGTAGGCAGCGGCTGCGTGCAAGATCAGGGGAATGTTAAAGCAGAGTTGTGCTATAGTTTTAGCCTGCTGGTTTTCAAGAAAACAGCCAGTGTCTTTAACCTTCTCCTCTAGCAATTTCGCAGCGGCATCGTTTTCAATGACGAGAAGTTTTACGGAGTGGCGCGGGGTTTGACAAGAAGCAGGACAATCCACTCTTGAGGTAATGACACATTTCACTTGGGCTGCAAACTGAGCGACTTGGTTCACAAAACTATAAAACTCCTGCTTTGAGTTTTCGTCACAAATGAGGTCTTCAGCGTTGTCAAGAATAAGAGTTGTCCTTGTAGTGAGAGATTTTAAGTACGACAGTGCCAGCTCACGCGGGTTATTCATCAGTCCTTGACCAACATTTGCTTTTAAAGCGCGTAGAATCTTGGCTGACATTTTACCGACAGATCGGATTTCTCGTAAGCATAGGAAGATGACTTGGAAACCATTCTCCTTCATCGTATGACCGATTCTTTGCGCCAAACAGGATTTTCCATAACCTGGTAAACCGGTTATGACTACGAGTCGCTTGCCGTTCCATTCACTGAGAACTCTGACAATTTCTTTCAGCATTTCTTCCCTCCCGTAGAAATGAGATGGCTTGCGCGGAAGAGCTCCCACGAAAAGATTTGCATCATCCGGGGATCTTTGTTCTGAAAAGGAAAGCAGTATCAATACTATAACAAACTATAACAATATTCTTGAACGCGATTGGTTATCACTAGCCCGATTTGAGGACTGCTAGGACAGTGTTTGGGTCACGCTTGTAATTGGACAGTTTGATAGGACAGTTAAAGGGACAGTTAATACGTCATGCCTGTGTAAGTGGACAGAATGCGTCATGCGCGCGCTGTTGTCTCGCATTTCGCTGAGTTAAATGTCGTTTTTTTTAAGAAAACGTACAACCGATGTCTTATTTCTTTCTCAAATTGTGTCATGGCTTTGATTAATTGGTAACAGCATTTCGTGTCGTCCGTTCCTCCGTTCTCCGTTCTCCGTTCCATCATTTCTGCGTTTAATAACTAAAGGGTCTACCCGCTTCGCAAATTTAGCGGCCGTCTTTGGCATAAGTCGTTGATTCAAACGATGAAAAGTTCTCTGGTTAAACAAAAAAATTCTCTCCAAGTTTCACGACGCACCGATCACACCTATAATGATATTTTTGGAAGGAAATGTTTTGTTTTTAACCGCGCGCAATCCTGAATTGATTGTGAGATGTTTATTGTCTTTTCCTGTCTTCTGTGGTGTCATGGCAAGAGCTGGAAACATAATGTACCAGTGGCTATAAGCCTGAGATCACTGAACGAGAAAATTCAAATGTGTATCGAGTGCAAATGTTGAACTAATAAGATACTCCTAGAAAAAAAAAGCGGTAGGAAGCACCGGTAAACATGGGATAAAATTTGGGGTCAAGCTCGGAGTTCTGTTGTTACTTACCATCACCCACTCACGCACTCACCTACCCCCGTAACATAGTGGCTTCGCCTTCTATTGTATAGGAGGCAGTAGCCACAATAAGAACAGGGATTATAACATAATGGGCTAATGGCTATAACCCAGTAATCACAAAAAGAGACTAAGAATTGTGTATCGAGTGCGAATGTCGAACGACTGAGATACTATGAAACAAACAATAAATAGCACCGAGAATTAAGGTAAAGATCGGAATTCGATTGTTACCATCACTCACTCGTTTCGACAACATATGTGGCTTCGCCTCGTAAAGGAGGCAGTAGAAATGACAAAAAGATTTGTATTTGGCGCTATTAAACATTCAAATGTTCAACTGCACTAAGTAGGGTACAAATATCCTGCCATATTGTGAGGATTTAGACAGTTGGTTATCTTGTACTGTAAGAAGACATTTTTGAAAACTTGTCTACGCTTGCGTGAGTTACTTCAAATGAGTGTATAAAATTGAGCGGCCAGGATAGTAAATAGTCGATCTGATGTGTAGTATTCACTGAGTATTTTAATCATTTCTTTGTATTTTGACTTGTCTTGCAATATTTATTGCACTTCTATTGCGGTTCTATTTCAATTTGAAAGAGTATATTACGCACTTATTTACACAAAGATTAACTAGACAACAATATATATGGATAGCCTGTAACTGAGATCTTACGAACTTTTAACGCCTGATTTCCGAGTAGATATCCTTTATATAAGCGCTACGAAAGTGATAAATCACTCAATTATCATTTATAATTATTTTTGTGGGATGTCAAACAAATTCTTGGTTTGCTTAGGAATGCATATTAATGAAACTTTGCGGCTTAAATAACTTCCCATTCAATATCAGAACTGGAGTTAATCATACATAAGAATGGTTTAAATTGAGTATAAAAAAGACTTTTATTCTATGGATAGTTCTCCAATATCAATTGGGCTGAATAGTCTAAACGATCGGATATCATTTGTAAAGTTTGTGAAATTTTCCGCTCAGGTCGTCGTTATCTGTGACGTCACTGTGTTTAATGTGAGTAAGGAGTGACTTTCAAACCGGAAAACATGATCAGAGTGCGATATTCCCAGAAAAACTCTACATTATGAACTGTGCGTTTACAGTGATTACTGTTTTTTACTTTGGAATGATACAAGACTCGATATAACCATCGCGTGACTTTCCTCCACGTCGTAATTTTAAAACATGCAACAGATTACCCGAGACTATTTTGGTAGTTTGGACTAAATTGGGTTGTCTTAGGGTGCAAATCCCGAGCTGTACATGTGCAGGACTAACATCAAAATTCTTGTACCTGTTGTGAATGGAACTTATGCTCAAAGCAGAAAAAAGACGACCTTGCGGAGAACATGTTTGAAATTTGATCAAGGAATGCCATCATGTTTTAAAAAGATTCCAAAGTTTAGCTTCACTAGCCGCGTCATGGATGGTTGATTTCCTCCATGTTATAACTTCCGCTCTTGTTGTAATACTACTACATAATTGTGCCTGCCGCTTTTCTTCGAATGAAACGTCAAAGATCAATCCCCAAAGAGCGATACTTATCAAATAAAGCCATTTGTTTTCCTCAAACTGAGGAGTGTTAAATAACAAGCGCAGTTTGTTTGGTCATTGATATCGAGTCTCGAATAGAGAACAATCTGCTTCAATCTGTCTGTAACTAAAACGTTGTCGGTTAGGGTATAGTTATAGACATCTCTTCGTTATCGCGTGATATTCCTTTGAAGAATATTATAGGGTGCGAAAGAGAAGCCCGTGAATGATACCGGCCTAAAACGTTAGCTCTGTCAAAACAGAGCCAACTAAACAACAAAGTAAACAAACTAGAGTCTGGAATTAACGCTTACCTCCAGCAACTTCTGTTGCAAACGTCATCTTTAATTCGAGTTGCTTCACCTCGTTGCTCAGATCGGGACGACCAGCAAACTGCAAACGGGTAGCCAAAAAATCAAGATTATTAAGAGATAGTAACCCCGCGCTCATCATTCGATCAAAGAGTTCAAATGGCATCTGTACGTTTTCCAATATTCTTTCAGGTAAGTAGGTTTTTAGGAGAAATTTCATTCTTTTGAGGTCTTCCTCGCTGAATTGATCCGATATAGAAAGGAGAAACGCGTTAAACTCGTTCACTCGTTCAGGATTCATTCTGTTCGTTGAATTTTCGATAGTCTGAATCGAGTTTCTCGAGCCTCTGCGAGGAACTTGTCAAATCATACTCGTATTTGCTTATGATGAAGACGCAGCAGCTTGAAAACTCGAAATGGTTACCCTTGGTTCCTGTGACGTCACACGACCTCTAGCCTAGTTCTCCTTCAACCTCGTTCCCAACAAACCTAGCAGGTTTCCTCTCATTCTGGAAACGAGGTTGCTCCTGATCTTGGTCTTCATTTTCGACCCTTGCGTTACCTATAATACACCGGTTGTAGCTTTTTCATACTTAGCAACGGGTTTCTAAAACAACATAATCCACTTTTCTCATGTTTGGACTTTAAATCAAATAAATTTTCAACTTTACCACGTTGTTCCGATGATTTTCTTTCTTTCCTAAATCGAGGTTATAGGTGGAGTCAGAAGCTCCTCAGAGTTCTTGGCCAAACTTGTAATACAGTATATATACATTTTAATCAATTTAAAGTTGAATTCGCCCTGTCTCTGTTCTAGTCTTAAATGATATACGCCCAAAGCAACACAAGTAAACTGCAGTCTTTTACCAGGTTACTGATACATTTATAGGTGCGTTACGCCTGTTTAGTAAAATATGTAATCCACCGGAAATTGACGTACCGGAAGTAGAGTTTTCACTGCATGAGTCTCCGCATGCGACTTTTGTTTCAGTTGACATTTGACTAACACATTTTGCAATGTGGAATCGCGTCACGTATCCGATTTATTAACAAAAAAAATCAAAACTTTACGGATCAGAACTTCAAACTCAGTCGTTTTCAAAGACTATATAGAAAGAAAGCCGAGATGCGCGAAGGAAAGATTGAAGATATTCTTGTTTTAACAGAAGAAGAGGAGAACACGCCATTGTTCGTCACTCCAAGGGCGAGACGTGATGTGCAGGTAAAGAAAAGCTCATATCAAGGAAAAAAATTCATAGTAATGAGATCTTCTGTAAGAGCACTGTTTCACTAGTTATTAGTTCATTTACAAGCTCGGCATCGCTTCGAGTTAAGTATCAAGCGAAGAACTGCCGAGAGAGTAGTAATGATTGTTTCAGGTCAGGGGGCGTTACTGGAGGCCGAGCTTTACTGATCGCGAACAGTACCTTATAAAACGAACAAAAGGCGACCAAAAACAAAATATGGTAACTTTTTCATGTGATAAGTGCAGTAGTACCGTTGATTAATCTAGGTGTAGCGACAGTGATGATCAGCTGTTGATCAGCCTCAGTCGCGGGTTTTCAAGCGAAGGTCTCGCTTGTATTTGATGTCACCATTCTCCACCACCAATCTTACAATCTCTCCTCTTATCGGTCTATGAAATTTTCTTATTGCGAAACTGATGACATTTTTTACACAATAAAACACTTCATTAGGATTTTTCATGTAGTGACAGACAAGAAGATTACGCACGAATAGGAAATAGCACGTTTGTTTATCTTTCGCTCAGCTGTCACATTATCTTTGAAATCGAAGGACAAAGTTGGAATGAAACACAAATTTTTGTGGGTGCAAATCTTTTTTTCATGGCCTTCCATCTTCAGGATCGGCAAGGATTAATCTTAATCCGTTACACCCCTAAGATCGCTATGAATTTTCTCCACACTGTTGTCTGTACGTTTTCCTAACATATAAAATTTGGTTAACAATCAAGAGTTTCTTTAGTTGATGATCATTTGTTTATTCTCGTGACCTTGATGAATGATTCAGAGGTGGTTTTGTTCGGAAAAACGAGAAGCTAGTCTCTCTGAATGGTTAGAAGGTTGATTTTTTTATGTTCTAAAATTTATTGTTTTGTTGGAACATGACCCCCTTACGCTGTGGAGCTCAATTACTCCGTCGCGACGGGGATAAGGGGTCAATACAAGGTCAAGTTTAGATTTTTCTGTTGCTTACCAACCTTCATTTGCGATGAGACTTTCACATTTGTCTGCAGAAAGCAAAGTAAACTCGTGAATGAGTTCGAAGGAGGCGGCATTTAGGGAGGAGAGGGTGGTGTTTCGCTTCGTAAGATGTTTAATTGCGCCATATCATTGCGGAAAATAACAGAACAATATCACCTTAAATGACGAAGTCACAGTTTTGAAAGTTGATGGTAGGGTAGGTGGACAAGTCTGCTTCGGACATAAAATTCGATAAAGAGACTATTGCGTGTTAAACTTCGTTAGCCTCTTAAAGGTTAATCTTTATCTCGGCAAACGTATCAATTTTGGTGGTTCGTTCTATGTCACTCAGGTGCAGCGCGATTGGCGCTCATTTGAAATCTAGTCACGTTTGTAACAATCCACGATTTCCACAACCAATGATTTTATTCGTTGGCTTCTAAATAACCTACTGAAACCATTGTGGTCTTCAATAATCCTTTTAAAATGAGTGGTCTGATGGTCGCTATAAATCTTTTCTGTCCTGAATGTGTTGCGGAGCTACTGAAGTTGTTTACATACTGCAGACCTGTTTGTTTCGTGCCCTCGGTGCTTAGGTGAAATGCACAGTCTTTTCGCGAATGCCCTAAGGCCGAACTTCACGATATCACAGTATAATAATTACAGTACAGTTTAATTCACGGTTCACGGTTCTCAGGTACAGTACTCCCTCACTCTCTCCAGGCAACTAACCTACATCATACAGTACAATGTAAAAACTAACGATCTGTCAACAATGTTCTCCTGTATCTAAGTTACTCGATCAAGCTGTCAATCAAAACGAGATACTTGGCGCGTGTTCACGCAATCTCCGACAGTCTGGGTAACGAACGAGAGAGACTCGTCTACGGTGATTTTTGCTCCATCGAATTCCCATCACAGCAGGGGGAAAATAACAGCTATGTATTTAGAATAAATCAACACTGAAAGTAGTTTTTTAAATATAAGGAGAGGGAAGGTGGTTGAGGATATTTGCTGAGTCAAGATATAATTTACCTGACCCTCCCATAGGGCTCTGCAGTGTACTTGTGATTCCCCCCCCCCCTCCACACTTTTTGGCAGTCAATTGACAGTCAATTTTCAATAGCCTCCTCTTCATAATTTGTTGGGGACGAATGAGCCCCCCGTCCGTACCCCCTTAAAAACTACGTGATCCTCCAAAAATCCTCACTCCTCCCCCCCCCCCGAGATCAATAATAATCACATTTCTTTTCTCATCTTTTTTTGTTTCAGATATTTGCAGGTCGAGTGGGTATTCATTGGAAAATTCTGAGATGCTTATTTGCTTTCCTTTATCCGATTTCTCACGTGACCATTATCGTCTCCCTGATATCTTTTTTTGTCACTGCATTCAGCTTCGCTATCAACTGCGCGCTGGAAATTACATTTGAAATGATCTCACCACAGGGAGACTCAGCTGCCTACCAGAACCTATACACGTGTTGCTTGTTGGTGCTCCTGTGCTGTACCATGCTTTTCGTTCATCTAGTCTTCTCCTTGTTCTGGGAAATCATCAAAGTTGCGGTTGTAAAGAGCACTCTTATATTCCGAGAGGTTAAGGTGGTGATTTTTCTCGCCATCTTTGTGGGTTCAGGTATTTACACGGGCTGTGCCGGGAACAGTTTTGGTATTATGACATTGCTTGGCAGTTGCCTCGCAGTGTGCTGGTTCGCAGCTTTTATCGTAGCAGTACTGGGCTCGGTTGGCTTGCTCGTGTTCTGTTACCGTGAAGAAAGCCACGAAGCGTACGCTATTGTTCTTCTTCCACTTTGTATACCACTTGTTCTGTTTTCAATTCTTTGCCCTGTTTCCTTTACTCTTGTTAATGCATCAACGGGCGCGGTATGTTTCGCATTTTTCTACCCATTCTTAACAGCTTGCCTTATATTATACATCTGTTTCCGAGGCTCTAGAAAACCGAACGGGGAACAATTTGTCATTAAGAGACGTTTTGCTGTATTCTTCACCGCGGCCTACCTCGCTGTGCTGATTCTGACGGTTACATCTCGCGCGTATAGCGAAAACAGTTGCAATTTACCATCAGTGAATCACTCTAACGCGAGAGATTTCGCCATCAATGAAAAAGATCAGCCAAAGTATCCGATCTGCGATAAAACATGGACCCCGTTACGTCTGAACGTGGCAGAAATGGCATACCTCTCGTTCGTCGCCTACCAGACAAACTGGAACAAGCAGGATCTAAGTAAGTCAATTAGGAGCTATTTCCACTATCGAAAAGGTCAATGGAATGTTAGTTACATCTCAGAGGGAAATCCCAGGTATTATCATTTGTTCGAGGCGACAAGGCAAGTTCATATCATCGGCATCCGAGGAAGTGTGTCCGCGGGGGAATGGTTCGAATATCTCAAGTTATGGAGTGAAGTAATTAGTTATCAGCTCACCTCTGAAGCCCTCCCAGTGCAAAGGTTCCCACTGAGTTTCGTGACGTCCTACGTGTCTGCTTCGTCTTTTCTGGAAAGGATTCTGCATCATAACCGTCCAGATTATTCTCTTAAGTCAATCGAGACGTACATCAAGAAGACGAATCTAAACTCCAAAGGTGATAACGTTATTCTCACTGGCCATTCACTAGGTGGCGGCTTAGCAAAGATTATAGGGAGCCGTCAGGAGATTCAAGCCGTATCTTTTTCAAGCCCCGGTGAGGTGTGCATCAGTAAAAAAATGGGTTTCAGTCTTGAAGACTTGCAGCGTTACACTACATCCGTAGTATCACGCAATGATTTGGTCACGTGGGTTGACCACCACGGTGGTTTGGTCCAGTTTATCGGTCGTAAGGCGAGTCAGCATGACCAGTGTCACGCTGTTAACATTTACTGTGAGCTGAAAAGAAGTTGTAGTTTTCAAACTCCCATTACTTGCTAAACTCATTGGAAAAAATGAGTCAAAAACGCCACTTCTCTTCCGGTTAATTTAAATCTTTCCCCCCACTCCACCCCCCCTCCCCCCCGGAAAGTATGATGCCATGAGCAGCGCAAGCCGGCGAGAGGTCTGCAAGGGGTCTGGCACTGAATTCCAGGACCCGGTAAACCTCTCTCCGACTCGTCTCATATCTTCTCGCGGGCGGAAAGATGAGCGTCCTCCAGTGCTATTGATCCGTCGGCACAGCTGTAAAGAGGGGAACAATTTCCTACTGGTGTTTTCTAGACATATCAATTTTTTTAGCAGAATATGAAAGACAGAAAGCAAATCTAGCGGCCATAGGATCTAAGGAAGCGACTAAAAGAGCTTGTACCTAAACAGTTTATTTTCTGGTAGATAACACCATGTACGTTGGCAAACAATAACTGTTATCAACAGTAAATCTGAAATAATTTGGTGGTTTTTGGGTAGATCTCGCCTAGTTTCTCTCCTTAGACGCATAACCTACGGCTTTGGTTTAGTTTTTTCGGATCACTTATCTTGATATTTTTTAAGCTGCCCTACGCGCTAAGGAGAGAGGTTTAGTTGAGCTCTGTAGAATAACCAGATTTTTACTGACATTGTACTGTCAAGGGGGAGCGCAGTATACATACTCTCCCCACTCTTCTTTACACATAATTTCTGAGCAGAAGAATCTGTTCGACAATCAAGAGCTTCTTAAATTTGTGATCATTTTCCTTATTCACGTGACCTTAATGAGTGATTCAGGGTCGATATCGTATGGAGAAATTAGATGCTAGTCACTCTTAAAGGTCAAAGGGCTTAGTATATTAAAATGATAATCGAGAGATTTCAGAAGGCATACTTTTATTAGCAAAGATCAATAAGTTCATTGTATTACATTGACACATGTACCGTCTCACTCAGAACAGCGAGTAATTTATGTATTTAAAAACGGAAACTAGCATCAAAATTTGGAAGACTCCTAAAAAAACGAGACCAGAATTGGGACATGATAAATCTAACAAAATTTGTATCAATTGGCACATCAGAATATTCGGCAGGTGATCCGCTGAAAAATATAATTTTCTCTCAAAACAAGCTGCTAAAGGAAAAGAGATGTCTTTAAAAGAAACTTTCCTCCTCGTTCCTCGAGTCCTGGTTCGATCGCAAGACAAGAAACTTTGATTGGTTTTGAACCTACTTCCATCGCTGGTATTCTAACATTAACCACAAAACTGACAGTAGTTCTTGTAACTACACTTGTGCACTTCAAAAAGATTTACAAAGCGTTTAAAACTTCCTGTCAGAAATTACCAAGATTCAGTTCTCGACCGTTGTCAAGGGGACCCAGCGCATGGGGAAGGAGCTCATGCACTTAAAAAATTACCTAGAGATTGAACTGCGCAGAACTGCGCATTTCCAGTCTCAAAGACACTTAAGTTTTCATCTGACACTATCGGAATTCGAACATAGAACAAATCGGTTACAAAATATTTCATAATAGTTGATGAGGAATATTAACTACACTGTGACCCTTGATATATTTCTTTCGCTAAACTCAAGCATTTCTTATTCGACTTTTCTTTGAATTATTACAAATACTTCGACGGCTGAAATGAATTCCATATGGAACCAAAAAGAAGCAATATATTTGCTTTGAAATGAGCAGATGGAAATTTTAATCTACAAATTCGTAAACGCCTGATCTACAGGGGTTTACATAAGCCTCGTTCCCAGATCCTTTCTTCGCCTGTTTACCGACAGGAAGTGAGAAAGAACTTAAAAAAGACCATCACTGCAGACCAGCTGCTTCGGTTCAGTCGCCATTGTTGTTTACAGCCGGCTTGTCGGCCCCACCGAGTTGAAGGTTTTTCATTCGGTTGATGGCTGTTGCGGCATTAAACGCTTGCTGTGAATAAAGAGAAACTGCCATTATCACGAAAATAGTTGGTGAACTGGTCAGCTGAGGAGCCAGGCGACTCAACCAGTAAGAGCCCATCTCACTCTCTGGAGTATGAAATGACTAGGAATATTGTCACTCCCCCCTTGGGATGTCAGTCCATCGGAGGTGACCCCACCCCCCCCCCCTTCTTTTTGCAGATAACTGAGACATGTATGTAACAATTTCTTTAATCTCTCGCCTTCCCCTTTTACAGATTCAAAACAATTGCAGCCCACGTGGATCCAATCTTCGTCGAAATATAAAACACTAGTCTCGTACCCAGACCTCCCAGCCAAGAGGTGGAAAGATCTGGGTGCAACAGTTCAGTGATAGTTAAACGGTAGGATCTGGGTACGAGATTAATATAATACATACACGCATCAATTCAGGTTTGTTTCATTATTGGTAAGGATTTCATCCATGAAGATTACCTTCCACTTAGCCTTGTAGAAGTTTTTCTTTATTTGTTCACTAACTGATGCATGGATGTCACGATCAAGAGCCTCTCCACCGGAAATCCTATCAAATACAATGAGAAATTATGAGGAAAAATTACTAAGCTGGATAATTTGGTTTTATCAACCAAGTTGGTAATGTAAATTGGCCACCGTAAAGAGTATCAAAGCTGACGTTTCGAGCGTTAGCTCTTCGTCAGCGCGAATGGCTGAGCTGGCTCCGACAACGACCAAGATGAAACGAATCCTGTGATCTGATTGGCTACACGAGCGGGCACCATGGGTTCTGGAATCCCCGCTGTAATCCTGCGCAACAAGACATCGAATGCGGTCGATGTATATTTTTCTATTTCTCAGTTAGATAAGATGAGCCTTCTAGCAGCTCTAACAATAATTGGATCAATATCAGTATCTGGGCAACTGCCCACCTACCCCTCCCCTAACCCAACATTAACCTTGACTTGTTGTCAATTGACTGTTGTTGAGTTAGGGGAGGGGTAGGTGGGCAGTTGCCCAGATACTGATATTGAATAATATCCCAATAATTTATGGTAAAACATGTTGTACCCGACATGTCACAAGTTAAACAAAGAACACCGTGAATATGAGAGCGACCTTCTCAGCAATGAACGCCACTTAAGCAGCTTAGAGAATAAGGCCTGAAAAATGCCGGAAGAACACCAGGCTTTTTTCTGTAAACATAAGTATTTTCGATACCTTGCCTTCATTTACCAACCAGGCGTGTTCGTATATTATTAAAAAAACAACAACAAATGCAATAAACCTAATATTGGTGAACTGTACGTACCAAGGATGATTTAGAGCCTGCTTGCATGTAAACCGCTTCTTGGGGTCAATTTGTAGTAAACGCTCAATAAAATTTTTAGCTGAAAGGTAATTCAAGCAAAAAACATTAACCCTTTAAACCCTAACATCAGTATGCATATTCTCCATACTGTTCTATATGTATTTCCTAAGATGCTGTCAAGGAGAATTTGTTTACCAATCAAAAGCTTCTTTCGTTGGTGATCATTTCCTTTGTTCTCATGACCTTAACGTGTGATTCAGGGGTGATGTTGTTAGGGAGAAATTTGATGCTGATCACTCTTAACATTTAAAGCGTTAAACTGGCGTTAACTACAAAAGTCGTCTCATCCACCCACCAATCTTGAACGTCTTTTGCAACAACAAGAGATGCACTAAGAAAAAAAAACTTAACTTCATACCTGAATCTGAAATGTCATCCCTGAGAAATAAAATGATATAAGAAGTCCGTTAGCAGAATGATCGACACATTATCAGCATAGTTCAAAAGGTACATGTGTAGCGACATCCCAGAAAATAAGATTAATTTCTGACGGCATTCCTAAAAGGATCATAATAATACCAGGACCGGTAGTAGTTTGGATTCAAGACAGGGAACTAGGTGCAACAACGGACGCAGAGATATTTCCGGTTCTTTATTGTCTCAACCGGAAATAGATTTAGTCTTTCCAGTGAAGGGTGTGATCTCTTAAGGGCAAAGAATATGAAATAATGGACTATACACGAAAGCCAAAAAAAATGAACTAAAATTTAATAACAGCTTGTGTTCGTTTATTTATTGTAGCTGCTGTTATTGTTGTGATTGTTGTTTTTTTTAAAAAAAAAAAAAAAACATCAACCAAAACAAATCTAGTTATTTTGTCTTGGGGACTGGGTTCGAGTGATGAGAGTTTTACGCGTGAAGTATGCTTGGAGTAAAACAAAAGTCCAAGCACGTGGAAGAAACAGTGAAATAAAATCATTTCCTGGTATGGCAATTCCTTAGCTCTTTTGATGCAGTTGAGGTGAGAAAATTCTTAATGGCCATTTTCAGTCGAGATGTTCTGTTACTTGAAAGTTCCTAAGCTGGGAAAATTGTTTTCAATATGCGAGGCGAACAAATTCCCCGGAAAAGGCACATCAGTCAATGCCCAAGGAACAGGTAGCTTAGGATCGAGATCCTTTAAAACCCTTTTCGTGGTAAAATAGATAAATATTTATTTTTACGTTCGTGCAAATTCGAAAAGTTCGAAGGAGCGGTAGATTAATTTAATCTCAGCTTTACATTTGGTTTTCCCTCAGTATTAATTCTTTAATACAGATTAGCATGCCCTGCACTGACAAAGGAACGCAAACTTTGAACATGGAAAGGTATATAACATTTAACTTTTGATCCAAAAATTGTAGCGTTTACGTTTCTATTATTCTATTTTCTAATGCTTACCAGTACGGTGTATCAAATTCATACTCTCCTTTCATGATCTGTGCAAAGAGGTTTGCATCACTTTCATCATAGAATGGAGGATAACCACAAAGTCTGCAAACATTACATAAGTTGTCTTATTGGATAAGTTTGCTTCAAATTTAAGCATATCTTTCTTTGAAAATAAATAAGTTGATGGTAAAATCTGCACTCAAACCTGAGGCCTACATCTCAGTACCTGATCTGACTTTCTGTGGCATGAAGTGATAGGGAATATTACCCTTCCCCCGAAGGGATGGTAATCCACTGCAAGGGACATTGCCAGGTTTCCCAGACAACTTACCAGCATAAAGGTGGACAGGGGAAGGGGTGGTTTCTGTAAGACAGATACAGTAGCTTGAACCCAGACTTCTCAGCCTGGATTCGAGAGTGCTGATAAAAAGACCATCTCCTTAAAAAAATAATCATCATTATAACTTACAATAATAATAAAATGAACTTACAAAATATAGCAAATTACTCCAACAGCCCAACAATCTACTGCTTTTCCATAAGGTTTCTGTTTGAGAACTTCAGGGGCTAAAAGAAAAAAAATCAACTCCAACTAAATCCGAAATCAAGTACACTTACACTCCAGTCTTAATATTCTTCACATTTACAAACAAAAATATATGTAGAAAGTTGAAAGGAACCCATGAAATATATCAGCAACACACTTCAAAACCCTTCTGCCTTAAAACTATCAAGCAGAGAACAGAAAGCATTTTTAATTTAATATCCCATTGCAATAGCCCAGGTGTTAGACTCACTGCCATGCTTCTTGGGTTTTCAAGGGAAGGTTATCATAAATCAGTTGTTTTTGGGGTGGGGTCTGTAACGCGATTTTTAAAAGGCTCAGAAGTGGACAAGATTGAGAAAGAATTTTTTCCACTGTGGATAACTTTATGCTGTTCTCCTCAGTGATGGGTCCTTTCCAGATCTGACAACAGTAAGGTTACACTTTGTTTCAATGTTGCTTTCCTTAATCAAAATGCCTTGCTGGAAAACAGTAAGGATTCATTCAAGATTCTAAACATGAAAAAAACAAATCCTTTGGATTTTGCAGTCTGTTAATGAGATTTTTGTGGTCATTGGAAAGTCCTAAAATACAAAGTCCATCAAAATCAAAAGACCCCTAAAAATTTTCACAACATAGATGCCCAAGGAAGACTGGCAGTATAAGCAGTCCAAATTTTGCAACCAATCCATGATTGATTAGCCTAACTCTTGCATCATGAGACAAATGATTAAACCTTCACTTATCTTTAAAACCACAATAAACAAAAACATTTTCTACAACAATATAGTAATTGATTCAAACTTCATGCACCTACCAACATATCCTGGGGTTCCACAGGCAGTTGCCATCATGCTATCATCTTCTTCTGTCTTGGACAGGCCAAAATCACTGATCATTATTTTGGAGTCATCGTCAGGACTGTAGGATAGACAAAACAATCCATGTGAACTTGCATGTAACAAACTTAGCGCAAATCATAAAGTTGTTTTAGTGAGCTGAAAAGAAGGTATTCAGCAAACGCAAGACTGATATTACAGAAATAATCAAATTAGCAAAAAAACCTATGAATAACTTCAGTCAATTATTTAAATGTTTGGTTTAGGGTATGCAAGCTTACCTGTAGTAAAGAAGATTTTCAGGCTGCAATTGAAAAATAATTTTAAAATTTAACAAGAGCAACAGTTCTTCATTGAGAATGTAAATTGATGACCTCCTAACCTCCCTAAAAATATTATAAATTAATACCACTTGTAACATTGCTGTTATTTCATTTGCTTTTTGTTCATTAATGTACTCATCCCTACTCAGAGGCTTCCTTGCAGAGGCTGTACATTTTCAGTAACAACCTCAAGAAGCTGGAATCACCTCCCCCTTAAGCTATGCACCTCTCAATCTGTAAATAATTCGAAGAATGCTTTGTATAAACATTTTAAATTAAGTCAGCATAGGGATAAGATTTTTATTCCTCTTGTAAATGGTAAGCTAAAATGGTTTCCGTGTTTACATAGTTAATTAGGTTATTAATTATATATGAAAGGTTTTTTTTTTTTTTAATTGTAACGATGTTTATAGAGGGCCACAAGTTCATTAGTTTTTAACTACTAAGTGTCACCCTCTTTAACCCTTTAACTCCCAGAAGTGATTAACATATAAATTCTCCCTAGAGTATCCTTACATTATCCAGCAAACAGGTTGGGAGATTATTCAAACTTATCAGGTAACAAGATATTATCTAGATTTAACACCAAATTCTTGTGACCAATTTACAGTGAAATGTGTAGCAGCTGAAGAAGAGAATTAACAATAAGATCTTGGGAGTTTTAAAGAGGGTTAAATAAAGATTGATTGATTGATTGATAGAATAATGCACAAGGTCATGTTTGAAGTGTTGGTATTTTTGTAAACAATAACAATTACTAGGTATCATTGATGAGTGAGTGTAGTCTTTGCAAATGAATGATACTTCATCTTTATAATAGAAAATGTTTCATGAACAACATTCCTCCTAAAAATAATGTTCATCTTTAAGGTCTGCAAATTTCCATTTAATTTGAGCCCACACAACCAGAAATTTGACCAGTTTCCATAGCATGAAGCCCCTAGCAGTATTCATAATTTTTATTGCCAAGGCTGGTGATAAGAATCACCACACAAACAACAACCTTGTTTAAAAAGTTTTATCTTATGTCTACTAGTCATGTTCTTAATTTCCTTAAGTATGAAATTATGAAGAACTCAATTAGATTCCAAAACTTTCCTACCCAAAGGGAAGCCTACTGCTTTCATTTGAATAGAGGAAAAAGTTCCATCAATGTTAAAACCTTTCACTCCCACAAGTGACCAAGACAGAATTTCTCCTTACAATATCAATACAATATCAAGCAGGCAGGTGATGAGAATAGAGAAGAATATCAATCGTGGGATAATTAGTTGATCCAAGACCAAATTCTCTGAACTAACATCATAAGAGTTGTATGGCAGATAGTAAGGAGAATTACTAATCAGATCTTGGGAGTGAAAGGGTTAAACCTTGCCTTTGGTGAAAAAGCTAATTCAGTGAAAATACAAACCAGAAAAGGAAAAAAACTTAATTAATTTAACTGAGCTAATATAAACTCAGCTTGAAGGTTAGCCCTTAAATAAAAAAAACAACCACCTGCTGTTTAGCACAATAACAATGATGTATCTCATTTAGTTTGTAAGCAGCATGATACTTCTGTGATATAAAAATGTTTCAGGTTCCAGAACTACTGTGTAAGCTTAATCTAATTTGGTAAATCTTCTTTAACCACAGAGGTAAAGCAGTTATGAAACTCTTGTTGATGTTTCCATGTAAGCAAGCAAATGCAGTTGGTGAGACAGTTCAAAAAACAAAACAAAACAAGGAAGAAAAACAAAAAACAAAATGAAAACATTGCGGGCATTGAGAGAATCTTCATTGACAATAGTTGTGGTTAAAAATTTCTGATACACCATCTATAACACAAATAATGTTGCAACAAAAGAATTTGGAAATACTGAATGTATAGGTCAACTCTCTTAGTTTATATGAAAGTCTCTTTAGAATCTCCTGCACTCCAATTCCTAAAAATACAAAAAAAATTTGTAATGGTGTCCAGATTTAATAATTCCAGAGGTTGTAACCCTTGTTATGATCCTCGGTCAATTCTCTAACATAGCATCTGGGACGTGCAGGTTGAATTATATTATTGTAGTTGTCAGGTTTAATCCTTGTTGTGAGGGTTGGTTTAACCCTTAAATACACCTCAGTATGCAAATTCTCCATACTGTTCTCTGTACATTTCCAAAGGCATTGTCTTAGAGAATTTGTTTAACAATCAAGGGCTTCTTTAGCTGGTGATTAAATCCTATATTTTTTTGACCTTCATGTGTGATTCAGGGGTGATATTGTAAGGAGAAATTAGATGCTAGTCACTCTTTTGGGGTCAAAAGGTTATCTGGTTTGCCCTGTTTTCCTTCCTCCACAGATAAAGCACACTCAATCTATAATTACATGTTATTTCCAAAAGGAGAAACATTCTCTGAACATGTCAGTGCTAAATCCTATTCATTTTTTACTGATATCAGCTCATTTCATATCTTTTTAAACCCATTACACCCTAACATCAGTATGCATATTCTCCATACTGTTCTCCAGACATTTCTTGAGATGCCAACATGGAGAATTTGTCTAACAATCAAGAGCTTATTTAGTCGGTGATCAGCTCCTTTATTCTCCTGAGCTTAATGTTTGATTCAGGAGTGATATGGTGTGGAGAAATTAGATGCCAGTCACTCTTAAGGGTTGAAGGGTTAAACCCAAATTATTTTTCCTTGTTATTACTACTAACCTTCAAATCTCTGTGCACAATCCCCTGACCATGTAAATAATCTACAGCTTCCAGAATCTGTTTTATAAGGTCGCTTGCGTCCTGTTCTGTATAGCTACCTTTCTCAACTATGCGGTCAAACAGTTCTCCCCCTTGAACCCTAACACAAAAGCATATACATATAAATAAATTAAAGGAAGTTGTATAATATCCTATGCACATTCAATCACAGTAATACTCTTATAGCCCAGGTTTCTTTGCCCTCTACTGGCTACACATTTCCCCATAAATTAGTTTCAAGAATTTGGTGTTAGATCAAGATGACAAGTTCTTTGTTTGGGCATTCTTATTACCAGTTTGCTGAGTAATGTACACTTCATCTTTCGTAAGGAGTGTTCACTAAAATTCTAGAATTTCCAGAGGACTGAGGTGGGGGGAAGACTGAGAAAAACAGCTCTCACAGGAAGGTTTGGTAAAGGCACTTTCTGAACAATCAGAAATATCTCTGTCATTCCAATGCACTTATGCACCCTCACACCTCTCCTTCATCCGCCTCTCATTGCACTAATAAAATAAAGGACTCCACACCAAACTTGACTTCCCAGAATTCTCCCTTTAAATCTAGTACTTTTTACAACAAAAAAATGATTCCCGTAAAAACATGTTTTTCCTCAATTTCTAAAATAAGTTTATGGGACAGAATATTTTCAGTTGCTATGTAACCTTGAAATATATAGAAACATATTAAGAGAACAATGGTTACAAATTATACCACCACCCTCCCCCCCCCCCATCAACCTTTGACTTCCCCATCCCACATCCTCCTATTTGTTGACAGGAAGTTGTTGCACATCTGCAGCTGTTTGAATCTTTGATATTCTTTTTCATGCGTACACCTCTACATGAAAAATTAAAACTTTAGATTGACTGTGTAGTTAACAATACAATTTCAAAGATGAATTTTATCTCAAGTAATGAAAATCACACCATCAACTCTTGGGCAAACAAATTCATTTCTGCTGTATTGAAGTAAAATTATTTTACACCTGATTAAAATATTTATTGAAAAGCAGAATTCTGGTCAGTTGTCGTCATAGATAAGAAACCATAATTATTTCCAATCAGAAGTATTTACTCCATTGCCATTATTCACAATCTGTACAAATTAACGAGTCGTGTTTAACAGCTGTTGTGCGGTGAACCAACAACAGCTGGTTGAACTTGAATACTAATGTATTTTTTACACCTTGAAAATAATGTCTAATATGATAAGTGATTTTAAGGAAAGCGCTAAAAATGTAAAGATTTTTTCGGCGCTGTGAAGAACGAGAAAAACAATTATTTTTCCGGTTTGCCCTCTTTGCTTTTACAGGTCTTTTCGCCGCCTTTTTTAATTCACATCGTTAACTGTTTAATGAGAACTGAATTATATTTTACAACTACACAAAGATCAGCATTTGCATACGCATTAAATTTTGGTTCGTGCAAAGGCAAATTCGAACCATTACCGTCCATTTTCCTGTTGTCTTAAATTTCGTAAGGAAAAAAAAAAGTGCGGACATCTACGACATTTCCTCACTCGAGCGATCGCTCCGCAAGATAAGTCAAAATACCATCGATGGATTTATCATCGATTCGTGAAAGGTCTCACGTAGGCATAATTTTCAAACGAGTAATTGTGAGAATATTAAACTGGATAGGAGACAACCAAAAGCTGTTGGATTTTAGAATTTTCGTCTGTTTACATAAGTCTTGTTGCCACAGTTCGGAGCTTTTCATTCTTTCCAAGTTAAATTAACTACTTATTAACGATGGTCCCTCGAGACTTGACGATATTCACTTTTCACGGCACAAAAACAATGGGAAATGAACTTAACTCAAAAGATGAATAGATCTTGGTAGCCAAAGAGGCGTTCATTTGATTCTTAACATTGAAATTTCAATTTCTGTGCAGGTAGAAAACCTCGATATTTGATACGCGGGCAGATCTAGAAGGTGTCAGGTTAAAAATATCCAATGCCGAAACGATAACACCTTTTAAACCCCATACGTCAGATAACACCATTTTATTTTCCATCACGAGAACATTTGCAACAACCGCGTAAATAAAGGAACTACCCTAATGATTTCATTAAGTCAACATAACACTTCGGTCATATCAAGAAAGAATCCATTTCTGCGTCGAATGTTCCTTTCAAGTGTAACTTTCCGTATGTGTCACGACAGACTGTTTTCGTCTTTCCTTATTTATGCAACACCATGCTGGTTAAATCCTTCATCGGCCGTGCTTTTTAACGCAATTTATATCATACAATAACTGATCATTCACTGAATTCTACGGCCTAGATAGCACGATAAAATTATGAACTTGAAGCGAAAGCAGAACATTACGAGATAGATTTTTGCAGCGCTACAAGCTTAAAGTGAATTACTTACAAATCCATCACTAGATGAAGATGTGTTTTGTTGTCGAATATTTCCCAAAGTTTAATTATGTTTGGATGGTTCACCCTGCAGACAAAATAAAATGGACGAACATGAGTGATCTTACTGCGCAAAGAACAGCTTACAGAATAACAGACAGAAAACAACACGCCTTTCGATCGTGAAAACATCCTTTTCTGGCTGACTGGACAGGCGTTACGCGAATCACGACAAAAACAAGAACTGTTTTATATTACTAATTGACTTACTTCTTCAAGATAGCAATTTCGTTCTCTATTGCCTCTTCCTTGCCGGAAAGTTTCCTCTTGGCGATGCACTTTACAGCATATAACTTACCGGTAGCCTTCTCTTCAGCCATGAAAACTTCAGAAAACGCACCACTGTGAGATAGAATAAAGAGATTTCGCAAATGTTAATGAACTACACACGAATACAATTAGAATTCACTGAAATTTGCGCACGAGAGTTTGAGGCAAATTATCTAAATACAAGCCGCGCTTCTCGCTAAAACAAGTTCTTAGAGCTTCGTGCATGTGTCAATTCATCTGTCAGAAGGGAAGATAACTTGTGAGGCCACTTACGTTCCGAGCACGTCATGAAAAGTGTACTTCTTTGTGATCTTCTCATCGAATTTCTTTTTCCCAAACAGCGGCATTCTGGAACAGGAAAAATCAGTGCAGCATTTAGCGAAATTCATCTAAAGCACCCACGAGAACTGGAGGCCGTCCGTAAGAACGTACTACATTTGCATCGAAATCTATACAAAACAAACACACCTCGGATTTTGACGTATTTACCAATACTTGTTATAAATCTTCGACTACGAACCGCTGCATACTTCTTTTGCATGTATGTGTTGTCAAGAACGCGAAATACTTTGAGGGGGGTAGGGTGGGGTAAACCCAGTTTCGAGCTATAAAATGCAAATCGTGAAAGGAGTCACCCTTTGTCACGAAATAGTCGCTACTCGCAATCAAATAAGTGCCTTTTTTCTTTGCTTATTGCGTCCACCGTTGCCTTGAAAAGTTATCTCTGCATCCAATGTGTCCAAAAAGAACAGCGGGTTTGGATTTCAAACACAGGGCGGGAAATTAAGTTAATAAATCCACTTAATTGAACAAAATTAAACATTCCTGGCTTCATTGTTTTCTATACCACCATATTTAGGGCGCTAATCGGCAATATGTTGCAAAGGAAATACTAACATCATGGCAAAATTTGCGCGCCTTCACTCACAACGAGTCAAACGGACTTGTCCTCTTTTTCATGGGCTGAAATTGCAGGGAACCTTGTCACTTCAGAATCTTTTTTGTTTTTTTCCTGGCGAATAAGGAAACCATGAGAAGCTCTCTTCCGTGGAATGAAATCTTTCCTTTCCGCCCCAGAAAATATATACGCTAAAATCTTCCTTTCGGCCCCCCAAAAATATATACATTAAAATATTTCCTTTCGGCCCCCAGAAAACATATACACTGAAATATTTCCTTTCGGCCCCCAAAAAATACATACACTAAAATATTTCCTTTCGGCCCCCAAAAAATATATACATTAAAATATTTCCTTTCGGCCCAAAAAATATACACATTAAAATATTTTCTTTCGGCCCCTAAAAAATATATACACTAACAGAGACCATTCAAAGAAGTCGGTGTTGCACATTTCCATTAAGACAGAAACCGCATAGCATTTAATTATGAAATGATAGGCAAACCATATGTGAACTTCGTGCAAAACGGTTGAGGAAAAAAATCCTCGGTATTTTTCATCGTAGACGTCAGATAAAGTAAAAAAATGAAAAAAAAAAAAGCGAGATATCAATCAAACGTCATGTATTGGATGTCTTAAATAGTCCAATTACGGAGGTATTTACGCAAGTAACGTCATTCCGTAATAATTTATTTGTTTTTCGTCAAAGCTTCAATTAAGCAATTCTATTTATGTCGCATTTTACAGCCGGCCACACAATTTACGAGATCAGGTTTTGTTATTTTTTCCTGTATTCGTTTATTCCTGTTTTATCGTTTGTTTGTTTGTTTGTTACTTTGTTAGTTCGTTTTTTTGTATTCACGCACTCCTATCTAACCACGAAAGAGATCACCTCGCTCTCACAAGCAATGCTAACAAAAGCCTCATTAACAACAGTCCTTCATGAATTTTTTTCTACGTCTTCCACTTCCCCATGTACAGATTTTTCTAATCGATGCAGATGTTACCAGATTCAAAAACATTCAATCCTTGAGGCGAAATATTCCATTGAAGTCATTTTTAAGTTGCCAAGAGAGACAGCCGACGACAGATTTCTCCAGAAGTGCGCTGTTTATCAGCACAGCTTGCATAACTAATTAGACTGCGAAAGTTACAAAACAAATCTACCTAAGACGACATGTTGATCACATAATAGCTTAAATGCGTCGCTTCATGTGAAAGATTGCGAGTTTAAAACATCGCAAACTAATTGTTTACTAACGTGGCGGTGAATTTACGATTTCACTTGCGCTATCTGGAGTGTCTCTGACAGACCTTTTATTTTGTTTGGAGAGGAAAAAACATGATCAGATAGCATAACGACATTTCTAGATGATTCTTACTGATAAGAGATCCGTCTGGACTAAAGGTTAAACACTACCAATTGCTGCTATCCAAGTGTTACCCACGCGCTCGTGACGAAATGCAAATGTTGAAACAAGTATGTTTATGTAAGTCTGTTTCTTGATCGGGTTTATTGGTTATCAGAGAATTAGGAATTTGAGTCGAAAAGGTTTCTTAGCACCATCTCGTAACAAAACTCGCTGCGCAAGAATTTCGGTAAAGATATTTCCATTAAACATCAAAAGACGGTTGATGCGAGATCACGCGTGAGGCCACTACCACACGCGCGATCACGAACGAATCTGAAAATTACCTTCAGCCTTACTACTCTCGCGTATCGTTATTCTGTTATTTCGTTTCAACGTTTTAAACTGCTGGCTAGTTTAAATTTGTGCGATTTGTTTTAGCAAAAGTTTATTTCAAGGGAGAGAAGAATTTCACTAAAAAGTCCACTGTCAAAGAACTATAATGTTGGCGACGTGCAACATAAGAACGAGTGTTTTCCAACCGATGCGAGCGAGTGTATCTTATTCCACTCGCGTTAAGAAAACAATTTTAGAGTCTGATCAAAAGCAATTAATGAACTGTTATTTTTTCTTTAAAATACCTGGCGAGGTTACAGCCGTCCCTTCCCTTCGAAAAAAAAAAAAACTTGGTAAGGGCTCCCTTATTGATTTTTCTAAGGCGAAGGGAATGGCTGTACACCAACTAGAAAACGCCCTCCTATAATAATTTTATGAAAATACTGGTAGTCTTTTTGAAACAAAAGAGTGTATACTGCCTGCAATCAAAGAGGCGTTCTCTTAACATTTGCAACTAAATTTGTTCGCCTCGAGAAAACATAATGAATTCATTACCTTCATCTTACTCTGGTTCGTATCTGGGGAAAATTGCAGCACGCTCTTCAGGGCTTGAGAACAGAGTGGACTTAGAGAAATATACGCAAGGTTGGGAGGGGTCGGTTAATGGTATCGCAATATCCTCCATTGCCGTTCTTTGATTTTTCGTGCAACATCCCCTCCCCTCTCACTTTTTGGGAGGCGGGGGGAACTGAGCGTTTCGTTACATCTTCAAGATCGGTTATGACGTGGGATTTGGGGGCTGGAAAAAATAGTTCAACAAGTTAAGCACCATCAAAACCCCTCCGCCCCTCCCCACTCTCCTCTTGGGAGCCAGAGCAATTTTGATAGCGTTCTCACCCCTCCACTTCTCTGAGTTCTGCGCGTTTCGTGGCTTTCCAACGCGAAATTTACACAAATTTGCCACTCATGAGGGCTTACTTCTCGCACACAAAAATAAGCAATACGTGAAAGCACAAAACACGCACGGTGTTCGTCACGCGTAACTGGGCGAATCTTGCCCACCGACAATCAGATCTAATCGTTCGTTGTCAATTTCAAGCACAATTTTACGGTTGTTGACTTTTGCGCATCAAAGCCGCGTTAATGTGGAACTTCCTACCAAGAAAACAACTTGATTTTAATGGTTCGTTGTGTTTTTGAAATAGTTTACATCACGGCGGTGAACTGTCTCTAGAAATATGGATAAACCTGACAATATTATTATTATTATTATTATTATTATTATTCACAACATCGCTTTAACCAGCTATCATAAACATACCCCTAATTAGCGGGTTTTGCGCCAAACCACAAGAAAGGCTGGCTATCTTGTAATCCACCACAAAGCTTATAATATCATATTTTTAAGGTCGCAGCTTACTAATGCAGAATTCGCAGATTAGAAAATTTTGGTTTGTTTGATCGCACGTTTAGCAAACAGTTATCAGGGAATTGCTAAAAATAAGCGAATTTTACTCTTTAACTGTGGTGAAAAGTATTATTATTCTCTGTTCATCAAACATCGTAACGCCAGTTTGAGCAAACTGTTCGGAGGAACCAAAAAGGTAATTTTGTTGACTTAATTCAAATATACTAGCAGGAAATTAAGGAAAACAACTCATTTGTAAATTCCCTGCTAAGCAAAAATTATATCATGTAAAATATCCTGTAAGATTTGTCGATAATGTTTGCGCAGAAGTATTTTCACACCCAATCAGTCCATTCAAATGAAACCTTATTATACTTATTATCCAATATAGCAGCTTATGTAGAGACTAAAATCCCTAAAGTTGCTTTGTGTTTACAAACGCTTTGTTGAAGGGCCTCGCGTAAACAGTATGCTAAACTTTCACGACGGGTCTCTAAATAGGAAAGACCCTAAATTTCTTACTTATCAGCCAGCACTTTCGTATTTATCCGTTAAATAGACGAGTTATTCATGTATCTGTGCCGGCTGGCTGGGAAGGGTTTCTGAAAAATCAGGAAAAGCTTTGCAATACAAAAGACTAATAAAACTTTGACAATAAACAGACTTGTCTGCCGAGGGTTTATTGAAAATTTCGCGACCTTTCCTCCGAATGTTCGGAAGTTTTACTTGCGGTTTTTTTTTATCGCGAGAAACATTTTGGTCAGTCGTTTATCTTATCTACGACAAAAACATTTTAACAGCAGTCGCAATATTTCACTCCGTTTAGTAAAACCAATATTTTTAATTTGCCTCCTCTAATCTCCGCATTCATCTTCGTTTTATGTGCAAACATCAGTCGATAGATATGATTGTCTGCCAGAATTTGCACAGATCCAAGAAACGAGGAGATGTATATACCTGGTAAGCAATGACTGACCTTCAGAAATGGGCGACTTCAGGCTGATAATTATCGCAGAATTCGGCGAATAATAAGCAATTACTGTTTTAAAATATATCTGGTCCGTAGAAATGGTACTAACCGCTTTCTTCTGCTCTTTTTGACGTCTTTGCAATTTTCTTCATCTTCCTCGCCGTACTGTGGCGAATCGATATCCGCCATGTGTGCACAAATGGGTTTGTTTATTCGCCGGCTCCCTTCCCGTCAAAAAAAAAGTGTCTTCGAAGGATAAGTTGTGGGTTTCAGCGTTCTAAGGCGAAGGAGACAGTTTGGCCTTTTGAAGGTGACAAGTGAGTGATCGCTTTTGTGTTCACAACACTCAAACCTCATTGAATATGCATGATGCATAACAATCAGTACAATTGTCGGTTCTATTTTGACAAACTACATAACACTTACCACCTGGCAGCGCGAATACTTATTTGACCTTTTCTTGCTTCCATACGCAACGCGCAAAGATTGTCTTAGAATCCTTTTCTGTTCCGTTTTCAGGAAAAATTCACAGGAATTCTAGAGGAAATGTTATCTTGGAGGTCCAGTAGATACTTATTAAAAGTTTCATTTGTTGGGTGTCAGAGTAGCGGAAACTGCAATTTGTCAAGATCCTTCAAAAGATTACTTTTAATTTAGCCCGCTCCATTAAAACCATTAAAGGCGGAAAAGGACCACATGTTGTTTTTCTGTATCCTTGTTTATTTACATTTTTGGCGGAATCGATGGGAGAATTGAGCGCGAAATAGATATCTGTCCGCTCCAAGAATCAACTAGCCTACACTTGGTGTCCGCGCATTCGATCACTCGGCAGCTCCAGTCTCTAGTTCTCACTGCCATTATCGATTAACACCTGTAGTAGCTTCGCCAGTTAAAATAAAAAAACAAAACAGCTTAAAATGTCTTTTTTTGTATAGCTTTTAGTTCAGTGGTTTGCAGTAATTAAGTTAAAGCGCATTTAGTAATAGCGCTATATAAATAATTTTTGACATTATGATTATCTGATCCCTATTTTCTCTTCTATTTATTTATCCATAATTTGATTTCGTTCTCTCTTACATTATTAACTGCGATATCTATTTACCACATTGTTAAATTCATCAGGAATATAAAAAAGTTATGTTGGTATTTACCATAAAGGTGAAGTGTGCCTTTCGCACGCGCTGATTGGCCAGTATGAGCGGAAATGATTATAAGTACTATTCACTTCCGAGAAGCCGAAGAGACAATCGCGCGCAAGAGTTAAATTTCCGACCATTTTCCGTTATATTGACTAAAGTACACTACTTTTGGTATCTGTGTGGTTTATACTAGAAAAAATTCTTTAACTTAGTGTCGTTGAGTAATTTCAATAATATAATAAGGTGAATCATTCACGCATTTTATTCGGTTCTTACTTAGGATCAAGAGAAAATAATTTTTTCTCTTGTTATGATCTATTGGTGGACAGTAATACAATTAGTAACCTGGCCTGATGTGTCAAGCAACGCTTCGGTTATCGCAAATTGTTCGTATTTGGGTCAAGAAGGATAATCAATGACAGAAAAGGGGACTGACACTTTTTTAACGTCGCAGATAAGCGACCAGGTTGTTAAGCAAGATCCGACTCGTAAAATATATTGGCAACTTGCTCACTGACTGCTATTAAGATGATAAAAAAAAATTCCAAAAATCCAAAAAGCTGTCACCTGAATTTCAAACTTCTTGATCTTTTTATATAAACGTCAGTTAAAGCTTTATTTTTCGTTCTTCGCGATAGTTACTAACATCGGTCATGAAAGGTAGCTTGAAAGTTAACTTTAAAGAGTTGCTCGCAAATATGAGAGGAATTTAAGGATGCCCTCAAGTCTAAAGGAGTAAAACACATAGTTCATTTGACGTCTTGCCAAATGATATGGGGGAACTTGAACGAAACTAGCATTACTGATTGCATTCTCAGAGTCTAAAATATACATCTCTTGGAATTTTCTATAAAATTATTGACTTTTTGGTACTTGATATGTGCTGTAAAGTTATCTTTTGTTTAAAAATTGCTTAGAAATGAAAAAAAAAAAACTACTCAAGGTTACTAGAACTGAAGAGTTTCTTCAAACGCCAAAAGTTGCTCGGTATAATCGGGACAGGTTCGATGACAGCATCCAAGGTCAAACAATAAACAATTAGCTAAACTACTCTTTGCACTTAAAGCCGTGTCTCCTCCTTAATGAACCAATGTTAAGTCATCGCTTAAATAACTAGGTGATTTTTTTTAATTCCCCCAGTAAAGAAATAGCGCACACTTCCTCGGGAACCCATAGTGTTACAACTGAAGTTATTATGAGATTAGTTTGTGAGAGAGGAAACCCAACTAGATTCCATCTCGGAATAAACTTGAGGTAACAAACATTGCGCTCCATCAGGATCAAGAGATAAAAACAGTTGATACTAAGAGAAACGATCATGATGAGATGATAGCGTTAGTGCTTGAGAACAAGTTAATATAAAAAAGACTGGTACCTAGAATAGAAATTGTGAGGAAGCGAAACCAAGCATAGGAAAAGAGTTGAGGCAAACGTTCAATTATAGATAGGCTCCCGGACAAACTGATCTTCTTGAAGTCATAAGTGGCTTTTTCTGCACACTTACTCGGATGTTAACTTTCAGTGGCGGATCCAGACCTTGAGCTAAGGGGGGGACGGGGCGGCTTTTTTGTTGCATGCCCTGCCGGCTTATCTTCCGTCCGCGATTCCTTTTATATTTACCCAAAATAAGGGCGGGGTCCCGGTCCCCTGCCCTAGATCCACCACTGACTCATTGGGCCGAGAAAATCTCGTTGTCAATTGATTGCCTTAGGTTCGTATGCACGTTCATGACTGTGTCACACCTCCATTGTAAAGATTTTGTGCGTCAGTCAAATCAAAGATTCAACATCCCCCTGGCATTTGAACTTTAGAAGATAAGCTTGTTTATTTCCCCCCCTCCCCCCCTCCCCCCTGAGGGGGAAGGGCAAATTGTGCTCAAATGCCCTATCAAAGTGCCAGATTTGATTTTCAATTTTTCTTGAAAAAATCGGCAACTGCCAATTTTTACACATTGACCAAGCTCTACTAAAAGCTGGGCAAATAAGCACCCATCCCATAGAAAGCACCAAACCCCCCTCCAAATAAGTACCCACCTATTAGGTCATAATGTCAAACAAGTGCTCCTCTTGAAAAAGCCCCCCCCCCCCCCACCCTCCTCCTTCAATTTTGTAAATAGTAGGAACACAAGGAAAACCTGTTTCTATTGCCACTTTATTTACAACTTTTTAAGTGTAAACTACAGAGGAATCAGTACAGGAAAATAGTTTCTTCCTAGTTCCAATGATTTCTATATCCACATGCTAACAGAATTTCTTATGTGCATTATCTGTTCTTTCAATTTTAAATTTTTGTCCTATTGCTGTGCTAACTTGAGAAGCACCCCCCTTTCAATGAAGTGTCCCACTTCCATAAAGCCCCCCTCCTTTGGCCGCAATTTTAAATAAGCAACTAGGAACTAATATTTCAAGGAAGTACATTAATAATTAATGTAATTAATGTAATTAATGTAATTAATTATTAAGGAAAATGATAAATCATGGAGCTCATGCATACTCTGGTTAAGCCTAATAAGGAATGGATAAATATTAATATTGGCTGTGCCTTAAGTGCAGAAAACTATTAATAAAAATAAACATAATGCAAACAATAGCAACAAAAAGACTACTTTCTAAAACTGTATGGTAACCAGTCTGAAAACTGCCAACATCTTTCTTATGATGCTTAATTGGTAGTCAAATGCAGGAATTGATGCTCTCTTTCCCACTTCATACTAGAGATTCTTAACCCTTTAACTCCCAGAAGTGATTCACATGTAACTTCTCCCAACAATATCCACCCACTATCAAGCAAACAGGTAATGAGAGTTGTCACATATATCAGGTAAAAGTTGTTATCCTGATCTAACACAAAATTCTTGCAACCAATTTACAAGGAAATGTGTAGCAGCTAGAGGTGAGAATTAACAATCAGATCCTGGGAGTTAAAGGGTTAAAAAAGATATACTGAGTGGTCTTCACTGTTCTCCCCATCTGATACAGAGTGCAAGGGAAAGAGAAAGCAAGGGACGCTTCTGAGCTTCAATTGTAAACATTCCTTGTACTTGGTCCCAGAAGATGTAAAAATTTCTAAAAAATTCAGAACTGCAAAGATGATTGGGAGGATCATCCGCAATTAGTTTAAGATTACCTATACATCTTTAAAGAAGGTTTGGACGGTTCTTCTTGGTAGTGACTTGTCTATTTTCTTAAAAAGCTGATCTAGTATACTCACAATTTTTCCGTCAATCTTTGGTGACTCTAGTTTGCTCTGAAGATAATGGATATAACGTATCTCATGCAGCACCTTTGCAACAACTTCTTTATGGCTATCCTTGCTGACAATAGGGTCAGTCAAGTTTTGAGGTGACTTTACTTGTTGTGCTTTAAACTCTTTGATACAAGTATGATAAGTCCTATATTCTTCCATTTCTAGAATGTGATGGAGTTCCCTGAGGGGAAAATGTTCCTCGTCAAACCACATCATTGTTAGTGAAAATTTGGTGCACTGGCTATAATCTTTTGTACCAATTGGTGCTATTGGTGTTGAAAAGTCAGATTGGTTTGGCTCCCGACGAGCATCATTAACTAACTTCAGGCTATTTACATATGGAACAATATGTAATATATGTGGCTTATCGGGCACTTTTCTTTCAGGACCTGCATATGGTTTGCCCCCACCAAAGTGTTTGAGACATGTCAAAGCGACCTCTAGTTTATCACCTGTTAAGAAAGGCTTTGCTGCATTCCCCAATTCTTCCACTACACCTCTTAATTCTTCCTTCGTATTTTTGGGCACTTCTCCTGAATGGATCAACGAAGAGCAGGAACTTAGCGACCGGTAGATCGTGTGGAGGTCTTTACGAAGGGCCCTCAGCTGGGGTGATTCGATCGAAACATTTTGGTAGTGATCATCAGCGAGCCAGTATCTCAAAACATCAAGGCCAGTTACTTCAGAATGAATTGGAAATTTGTCAAAATTTTTCTTTACTTTTAATATGTTCTCTAGGATCTGGTTTCGTTTCAGACTGCTGTAATCTGTAAAAATTCCTTCCGTGAACTGACGCCATTCTCGCCTCAGATGGTCCCTTCGCTCTTCTTCGTCACGTCTGTCTTGGCGTTCCCGATTCTCCTGTTCGCGTCTCTCTTGGCGTTCCTGATTCTCCTGTTCGCGTCTCTCTTGGCGTTCCTGATTCTCCTGTTCGCGTCTCTCTTGGTATTCCCGATTCTCCTGTTCACGTCTCTCTTGGTATTCCCGATTCTCCTGTTCACGTCTCTCCTGGTGTTCCCTATCCTCCTTTGCACGCCTCTCCTGGTCCCTTCGATCTCTGTACCATAAGTAAATGGTTCCAGCTGCAAAGCCGAGGATTGTAAGAAAGGTATTAATACAATAGTAGGCCAGGGTTATTGATTCCTTGTACTCTTTAGCAAATGTCTGACCCATAGTCAATCTTTCTTCACGAAAATCAAGCTCTACTTAGGAAGGCTGGGGCACTATGTTTCCGCATGCTTTGTAAAATTTTTGTTGGATGCGAAACACCGCTGGTATGCGCCTGCGTCGGTTTCTCGCTAAATAATCGCTAAAGAAGAAAATGCGTCGGAAACCAGGAAAGGATCAAGTATTTTAGAAAACCATTCTTAATTTTTCCCTCTGAAACTTAGATGGAAGCGTCAAAGTCTTAAAATTGTTGTGTGGTTTTTGGAAGGAAGTGATTTTCAAAAAACAAAAAAGTATGTAAACAACTTCGAGTCTTTGTTTTAAGATTGTTTGAGCGATTGATGTATATGTTATTTGTGAAGGATGCAAGAGGCTTGCAAAAGAGCACAGACGTATTGGTTTGTATACCTTTATCGTGTCATTGCTTTCCCAAGTTATCGTTCATCATTTGAAGTACTCACTTCCTGTGAGTGTTTTGTAGAGCTTCAATTATACTGCTAGTGCAATGTACTTGCAACTTTAGCGATGAATTAATTTAAGTTTACAGAAGTTTGTCTTGTTGCAAAAGCTATTCATTTTTTTTACATGAATCACAACCGGCGGGGCCGATTACCAAAACAACAAAGGTCAATGTCAAGTAAAGAAAAGTAAGCTAACGTTAGTACTAGAGATAAGGTCGTTACATCAGAGGAGAGTTTGGTAGAAATGGAGGAATAACTGGATTTTATCAGAGAAAAGAAATTTTTTTCAATCATTAGTGTCTGAAATATATCATCAGATATGATCAATGATGCAACAAATTTCATTAAGATTTGAATACTTTACTTTGGTCAAACTACCCTTAAGCCTTAACAGATGAGAATTCACCATGATTGGAGACTGGTGTGTACAAAGACTAGAAAAACCAGCCTGTTGCCTGATAAACCCAAAAGAGTGACCAGAAATGGGAATGTTTAGTTCACATTCTCTCTCCTTGCTTTTCATCAGATCAGAAGTTGACATACTGGTACTCAGCTTCTACACATATTGTCTGAAAGGTGGCAAAGTTGTGAACTAAAACAAAAGTACTAGTTTCTGCTTCCATTTGTTGTATAAATAGTTAAATGAATCAATTATTTCCTAATAAATGTCACATTCATTTATCCTTTCAACTGCACCACAAAATCATATACTCTCTTTGCAACCTTTTTCTCTAACATATTTCATTACAAAAGTTATGTGACAATCTGATGGTCTAAAAAGACTCTTATTGCAAACCAAACAAGAAAGAACCAGTAAGGCTGATATTATCAGTGAGGATGAAAACCAAAATATATCCAAAAGCCTTTTCATTCCTGGAAACAAGAATGAACAAAGTCAGATTAAAATAATGTGGAGAGGTTTGTTGATCTCTTTATGAAAATAGATGATTTACACCAAGCAGACTTTAGAGAAATGCAGAGACTTTTGTCAAAAGGGAACTTTCATATTGAATATTATGCAATCATGGGCACTGGCTTGGCTGCCTATTTGAAGAAATTTATAGTTTTTTGACAGACAAATCAAACATTCGTAAATTGGGAAATTTTATAGCTCTCATTCTGGAAGCTCAGACACTCTTAATAAGGAACATGACAATATTTCACCTGATCACTCCTCATATTCTTTCCCAATGAAATGTGGACAAAACTTTTAAAGAAAACCTTATTGGTAATTTTATGGTTGCAAATAAAGTAGAGACACAATTTGCATATAGCATAAGTTATGCAAGGCAAGTTGCATAGAGAGAACAAAAGACTGATAATTTACACCGGCAGGAAGCTTCTGGTACTAATGAAAATCTCTGGAATACCAGCTTGCCACAGAAAATGTGACCTATCCATTCTGTCAATAATACAAACAACATGTATTGGTGTCTCTTTGCATCTTCCAAACCAGCAGGGAACTTAAAAGTTAATTCCTTTCATCAGTTGCAATTAAGAAATAACAATTGAAGGATCAAAACATTTCTAGCAAAGTGAAATACAAGTAAAATTGGTTTGAATAAATTTTTAACCAAAAATTTGTTTTTTAAATCTGACAGAAATACTGTATTTAACATTCCAGAGAAACAAAGAGTTCCAGCCCCTTGAGTAATTATCTATTTGCTGTATCACTCATCTCATGCGTTAAGATCCAAAGAAAGTTGGATTATTTCAATCTGGGTGTATCATAGTGCACTTCGACTCAAATTCATTTCACATGGCAGAGGCATACTACTGAAGTAAACAAGACAAAATGAAGCCGACACCACTGTTTCAAATAACACATGAAGATGAAGAAAATGGCACTAGTTTAAACTCATGAGACAAAGCCCACGCATTTTTTGTGGTAAATAGACTGGTGTTGAGGGATTTGGGGTCATGTGATAAAGTAAGTTCTATTGAGGTTTTTTCCTATCCTTAACACTTCAAGCCCAAAAGGCAATTAGGAAAATTCCCACCAAAACAGAGAAAAAAATAAGCTAAAACCATTAACTCATTAACCAAGCTCTACTAAAAGCTGGGCAAGTCAGCACCCATGTTATAAAAAGCACCAAACCCCCCCACTAAATAAGTACCCACCTACTAGGCCATAATGTCAAACAAGTACCCCTCTTGAATAGGCACCCCCCCCTCCTCCCTTACTTTCATGAATTGTAGGAACATAAGGAAAACCTGTTTTGCCACTTTATTCACAACTTTTTAAGTGTCAACTACAGAGGAATCAGTACAGGAGAATAGTATCTTCCCTGTTCCAGTGATTTCTATCTCCATGTGCTAACTAACAGAATGTCTTATGTGCATTATCTGTTCTTTAAATTTTTGTCCTGTTGCAATTAAGTGTCCAACTTCCAGTAAGCACTTCTCCTTCAGCTGAAATTTTGAATAAGCGTCCAGGTACTAAAATTTCAAGGAAATACATTCACCCTTTCACTCATAAGAGTGACTAGCATCTAATTTCTACTTGCAATATCTTCCCTGAATCACACATAAAGGTCACAAGAATAAGGGAGATGATCACCAATGAAGGAGGCTCTAGATTGTTGAACAAATTCTCCTTGTCTGCACTTTAAGAAATGTATGATGAACAGTATGGAGAATATGCATACTGATATTAGGGTGTAAAGGGTTAAGTCAAGAAAAATTAGAATTCATGGAGCTGATACTTAAGTTATGCCTAATAAGGAATGGGTAAATATAATACTGGCTGTGCCTAAAGTGAAAAAATTATTACTAAAAGTAAACATAATGCAAACAATAGCAACAAAAAGACTACTTTCTAAAACTGCATGGTAACAATATGCCTACACTAAAAAAAAAATATATTTAACCAGTCTGAAAACTGCCAACATCTTTCATGCAATCCTCAATTAGTAGCCAAAAGCAGGAATCTTTTACATTTCACACTTTGGTTTCTTCAGGACGATTTAATGATTGGTCTTCATTGTTCTCCCCATTGATTTCCAAAGGCAAAGAATCAGGAAGTTCTAATGATTCAACTCTCTCATTCTCCCCATTAGATCCCAAAGGAAAATGAGGCTGGCGGTACTGCTCAGAAGGCCGGGGACTTTGCTCAGAATGCAGGGGACTTTGCTCAGAATGCAGTGGATCCTGCTCAGAAGGCGGGGGGGGGGCGGAGGTGTAGTTGGAAATTTTGTCATTACTTCTTCCGCCCAGAATTTCCCAAAATCGCGAAAAAGCTCATCATCGCCAAGAAAATGTGGAGAATAATTGACAATTTTTTGAAGATCAAATATACATTTCTTCAAAAATTCTTTGAACGCATTTTCTCTCAATGTTCCCGTTATTTCCTTATGAACCTGACTTAGTCTATCCACATTAACTACTGTATTTGTTCCATCAATCTCCCATAGCTCTCGGTTGTTCTGAAGATGATGGATATAGTAACGTATCTCATGCAGTCACCGATAGGGTCGGTCAAGTTTGGAGGCAGCTCTGCTTGTCGATCTTTAAACATTCTGACCAAAAAGGTCTTACCTTCTCCCTTTTCTAGATTATCATGGAGCTTCTGGAGGAAATTATATTCGTTGTTTGGCATGCTCGCATTAAACAAAAATTTGGACTGGCTATAATATACAGGAGGGGGTGGTGATGATGTTGAACTAGCCCTATGATCATTATCACCAAACTTTAGGCTGTCTAAATACGGAATGTTTCCTTCAACCAACTCATGAAGCTTTTTTTCTTCTTCTTCTTCTCCTCCTACTCCTCCTCCTCCTTCTTCTTCTTCTTCTTTCTTGACCGGCATGCCAAAATGTTTGAGGCATGTCGAAGCGACCTTTAGTTTTTCACCTGTTAAGAAAGGCTTTGCTACATTCCCCAATTCCTCCACTACATATCGTAATTCTTCCGTTATATTTTTGGGCACTTCTCCTAAATGGATCAATGAATGGCAGGAATTTAGCTGCAAGAAGATCATGTAGAGGTCTTCACGAAGGGCCCTCAGCTGGGGTGACTCACTCCAAACATTTCGGTGGCGATCATCAGCGAGCCAGTATCTCAAAACATCAAGGCCAGTTACTTCAGAATGAATTGGAAATTTTTCGAAAGTTTTCTTTACCTTTAACATGTTCTCTAGGATCTGGTTACTTCTCAGACTGCTGTAATCTGTGTAAATTCTTTCCGCGAACTGGCACCATTCCCGCCTCTGATGGTCTCTTCGGTCTTCTTGGTCACGTCTGTTTAGGTGTTCCCGATCCTCCTGTAAGCGCCTTTGATGATCTCTTCGGTCTTCTTGGTTACGTCTGTTTTGGTCTTCCCGATCCTCCCGGAAGCGCCTCTGCTGATCCCTTCGATCTTTGTGCCACAAGTAAATGGTTCCAAATACAAAGACGACGATTGTAAGAAGAAGATTACCACAATAGTAGGTCAGGGTTATTGACTCCTTGTACTCTTTAGCAAACGTCTGAATCATGGTCAACCTTTCTTCGCGAAAATCAGGCTCGATTGTCGTAATGAGGAAGCTTGATTATATGACGTTCAGAG